GTGAAGATTTAGATTCAATAGATGTAAGTGGAACCTGGAAACCTAAATGTTTAATAAGCATCTGGGTGATGCCTTAGATCCATTTTGCAGAAATTCGCCCCATTGAATTTTCTGTTTGCTTTCAGTGAATTTGATAACAGAGAATAAGAGTATTTGCCATTTGGGAGTGGTAGAGAAAATGAAGATGTTTGCTTCTAAAAAGCGTGAAACGCTGTTCAAGAAGAAAGTTCATTTCATAAATGCATTCCTGTAGTTGTTTTGCTATCTCTTTTCTCACTTATTCTGCTACTTATTGATCCACTTCATCATTTCTTTGTTACACAGAAGTTCATAATGTTTTCATGGGTGCATAACTAGACCATTTCTGTCTTATACTTTGACATTCCACTGATTAATACTTAATTCTTCCCTGTTTTTCTACTGAGTACTACTCTTTTTTACATCCTATGAGTTCCACTACTATGCATTTAAGTGTCTGACTTGCTTATGATAAATATCAAGTAAAAGACTTAGAACTTAAATGATCTGTTTACAGATACATATTCTAGTTGTAGTTATGATGAGTTAGTGTTGTTTAAAAGTCACATCTCCCCACAAAGCCACTCTACAAATTCCAGGAGGCATAGCAGCTCTACCTAATACATAGAAATAAATACCTGGAAGCAGCCAAAATGTGGAGGCAAAGAAACATGTCACAAAGGAAAGAACAGAAGAAATCTCTAGAAGGGGAACTAAATGAAATAGATCCAAGCAAGCTAACAGACACTGAGTTCAGAATTTTGTTTATAAGGATTTTTAAGCATACTATTAGGGAAATAACTGAGAAAATAGATAACATAATAAAGTACCAATTTGAATTGAAGACTACAGGAACTGAAATGAAGAATAATTTACAGGGATTCAACAGTAAAGGACACTGAGAATCAAATCAGCAGTTTGGAACATAAGGAAACAAAAAGCACCCAACCAGAAGGGCAAAAAGAAAAAAGAATCCAGAAATATGAAGATAGTATAAGGAGCCTCTGGGACAACTTCAAGAGGCCCAATATTCATATTATTGGGGTGCCAGAAAGGGAAGAATGAGACCAAGAAGTTGAAAACCTACTTGAAAAAATAATTACAGAAAACTTCCCCTACCTGGGGAAAGAAATAGACTTACAAGTCCAGGAAGCACAGAGGGTCCCAAACAAGAGGAACCTAAAGAGGCCCACAGCAACACACACCATAATTAAAATGCCAAAGGTTAAAGACAAAGAATCTTACAAGCAGCAAGAGAAAAGCAGTTTATTACCTACAAGGGAGCACCCATACAACTGTCAGCTGATTTCTCAACAGAAACCTTGCAGGCCAGAAGGGAGTGGCAAGAAATATTCAAAGTGATGAAAAACATGGAACAACAACCAAGACTGCTCTACCCAGCAAAGCTATCATTTAGAATTGAAGGTCAGATAAAGAACTTCACAGATAAGAAAAAGCTAAAGGAGTTCATCACCACCAGACCAGCACTACAGGAAAAGTTGAAGGGTCTTCTTTAAGAAGAAGCTGATGAACAAAAGAATTTGATGAACTAAATAGACCCAGAGTCATTGACAGGCAACAGATGATCATATTTCAGAGGAAAGAGGGAAGGGGGTGGAGGGTGGGAAGAGATGAACCAAAGAAGTTATATGCATGTATGCATAACCCATGGACACAGTCAATAATGGGGTGAAGGCCTGGGGAAGGGGTGGGAGCGAAGTGGAGGGCATCAATTGGGGGGGTGGATGGGACACCTGTAATACTCTCAACAATAAAGATAAATTTTAAAAAAGCCACATCTCCTGCCCAGCTGGTGTGGCTCAGCAGTTGAGCATTGACCTCTGATCCAGGAGATCTAAGTTCGGTTCCCTGGTCATGGCACATGCCCAGGTTGCTGGCTCCATCAGCCGATCGATGACTCTCTCATCACTGATGTTTCTATCCCTCTCTCCCTCTCCCTTCCTCTCTCTGAAATCAATATAAATATAAACTCTTAAGAGATCAACATGATTTAAGCTTACTTAGTAAACTAGTCAATGAAGTAATTTATTTATTAATACTCCACTTTCTTTTAGAAAGGGTTTCAGGCAGCTCAGGTTACCAATTTTCATAAAACGTATGTAACTATAATTTGTGAGGAACTCGCATTTTAGCTGCTTTGGATTTTGAAAACGACTTTCCAGAGAAAAGAGATTTTTTGCAACGTGAGGTTCCTCTTTTGCGTGAACTTAAGTTCTTGTGCATTCTTTTATTCCACAGACTCGAGAGGTACAAAATGCTATTGTATATTAAAATATGCATGCTCACATTGAATGAGATGCCTCCTTTCATTTAGCCTGCATGATATCCTTGGTTTTATACATTTCTGGTTCTTGACAGAAAGTTTGCTTTTCTCTTTTTTTTAATTCTTAAGCTATTTACCCTACATTTACTCAACCAGTGGTAGACATGGAAGAAATAAGAGTAATAAATAGAAAGAGCCTAGATATTCAGGAATTTAAAAACGATCTCCTAAGTTCTTAAATGATGAAAAGGTCTATGCTTGACCCCCCTAAAATGTTTTTGCCTTTTCTCTTGTAATTAAAACATTTTAAGTTTGGCTTTTAAAGTAACAGTGATGTATGAAAATATCTGCACAATATGAATTTAGTATACTGGTTCAGGAGACAAGTATTTGGTGATGTAGAATACATGTTTTTTGCACAAAGATTATCAAAGGAATATACATTTCTATGTTTACCTATGATTTTGATGTTCCTGAAATGTGATAGCAGAAAAGCCTACCTCATTTAACATGAAATTAGGAAAAAGGAATTGCAAAACTATAGTTAATTACTAATGACTGAACACTCTGCATTTGCCACACTTTTCAGTAAACCATAGCTCATGAATTATAAAGTGTGAATTATAAAGTGTATAATTTAGAATATGGTAAAATCACTATTCCTCTAAGTAATCAGAAGGTAGAAAACCTTAATTGTATTTTTAAGATTTTCCTTTTTTATTACCAAAGTTATACATTAATACAATGTTCTTTGTAAAAAAACAAAAAAAAACAAGTAAGATTTCTTTGAAACAGCACAATGTCTAATTACTAACAAAGCTGCAAAATGGTCGCTGTGTTCTTGTTAAAAGGGTAATAAGCAGTTACAACTTCAGAAACGGCATCTTTTCTATTTGTCATCTGGGATTTCTGGAGGGATGAAGGGCCGCCCAGTAATGCTAGCCAGGGTTCCTGCAGGCTTCAGTGTGTACTACAAATGGCAACACTCTAATGACTGGCCTCTAGATCAGTGTTGGAGAAATTTTAAAGCAAAAACTTTTAAATCTGGGCTCAAATTTTCAGTGCTTGTTGTTTAGCTAATATTGTGGCTTATTTTGTGTCACTCTTCCCCTTATTTGGTTTTATAATAAATCATTTTATTATTTTTTATTATAAAAGCAATATTTGTTCATTACCAAAAATGTCATAAAATATAGATAAACTAAAAGAACATTAAAAATAACCAAGCTTCACATTAAGTTGACTATTTGTAGATTCCAAAATCCAACATTATACTATCCTGCCTCCTTTCAAAAACAGTAATTTATCCATTTCCAATAATAATAATAATAATAATGTGAGTTGGTGAAATAAATAGATTAACAAGTTGATGGGCTGTCATAAACTGGGCAGTAACAAAGAGGTACTACTGATCAGGCTTTGTCAACAGCCTGAAGGCAGAAACTGAAATGTATTTGAGGGTCTTACACAAGTTGATAAAGAATTTGAGGCATTGATTATGTTTTCTATAATCACCTGAAGGTGATTAATAGAAAGAATCAGAGATTCAGGACACTGAGCAACATGATTTTGAATATACTCTACTTGTCTTTACAAGTTGCTTTTATAATATAAATTATGGTTTTTTTCCCCCCTCTTAAAGATTTCCTCTGATGATCATGTTTATTCCACATGAGAATTGGAAATAAATTCATATATGTTTTAGACTATGAAAAACTTTATAAATAACCTTAACATGGCTGAATATTTTTAAAAATGGGTATTATAACTTTATATCTATTAATAGCATTGGTCTTTACTCCTTTTTAACTCTTCATCTATTATAGGGAATTTGATCTTACACATTTACATTCTGTCAGCTTGGTTGAACTATCTTCTTACATCTTCATTAATCAGTGGGAAGTCATTTATACATCTAAGGAATCAGTGATATGAGACCCTTGTTAAGATTTCATTTCTACTGACATTTCTTTTGCACAGTGAGAGAACCCTCTTTCTGTGCATTATGAATGAATCAGAAGGAAAGAATACTTGCAATTAGTTTAAAATCAGTATACATAATAAACTGTCAGAATTTCTCAGGTAGAACATCAAATCATTCAACTTTTGCAGAGTCTCCACATAAGAAGAGAAAAATAGTAATATGTTATTTCAATTTACTAGATCTTTAAAAATAGAGAGAAGCACAGTTTAGCAAAGTCTGCTAAATTGATGAGTTACCTAAAAAATTAATAATATATTTGAGAAGAGGGACAGTCATATATATACAGAAAAACACTATTTGATCTCTGTTCATTCAGATTATCTTTAAAAGTTACCTTTATCTGTTATTTATAATAACTATTATAAATTAAATAAATTAAAATAGAGTAGAAGGAATTGTAATTTTCAATAGTTTGTGTGTGCTTAGAAGCTGTGGGAATTTAGGAGAAATCCTATATAAAACTTTTGTCTATAAAGAGGAACACCAAGTAATCTCACTTTGGATTTTCAAAAATAAATATTGGATGTCTACTTCTGGTCAGGATGGAATAAAAGAAATCATATTTACCCTTCCTTATGAAACAGCCAAAACATGGACAAAACATATGAAATGATAGTTTGCAAGGGAGTGGATATCAGTTAATGTAGCAGAGAGAGGAAACAAATGAGGTGTGCCTTGTGATTGCCCTGGCTAACTACCTTGAGAGAATTTTTGAGCCATGGCATAGTCAGGAGGGACCCAGGTAGAATCCCAAAGACTCCTTGAGTTGAAGGGGCAGAGCTGATAGTCCAGGGAGACTCAAGTCTGCAGACAGTGCCAGAGAGAAGAGAACAAGACAGGCAGAAAAACCACACTACAAGAAACAGTAAAGGAAGGCTGTTAGGAGGAAACAATTCCAGATGAAAATATGATTCTATACACAGCTAAAGAGCACTCCATGGACAAATATACAAAAATGTCTGATTATTTAATTCTTGTCATAAGGCAATCTAATGTTTAAACTAAAATTATGAGTGTGGGGTGAACAGCATATAGAAAAGTAAAATGTCTGACAGTAGCTCAAAGGTTAGGAATGGAGAAGGGGAAGGATCTTATTTTCAGGCTCTTAGAGTTTGCATGAAGTGGTCAAGTATAACTTGAAAATAGACTGTAGTGACTTAAAGATATATACTAGATTCCTGCTTCTGGGAAGATGAAATAGATAAACTTTTCTCTAGCCCTCTTTGCTGAGTACAACTAAAACCCCTGAACATTCATATGAAAGAAACTTTAAAAATTTGGAATGTGGGTAGAAGAAGGAAGACAGGTTTGGCACCTTGGAATCCAAGAAACACGCAGATGTGAGTTCCCTAGGTTTTATTTTTGTGTCATATAGCCCACATTGGAGGTGTAGAAATTGGCAACTCAGAGTCATGAACAGACCAAAAAGGCCCCGAGAAAAGCCTGTTTTCTCTTCCACAGGGTCTGGAAAGATGCAGACATACAAGACAAAAGCCTTTCAGACAATAATTGTTCTACCCCAGCCAAACGCCACAGAAAAATACCGTGGCCCCAACTTCACCCATGCAAGCAAAAGAGTGAGGAGTGGGGCTTCCCACCTTCGCGGGGCTGTAAGGAGACTCCCCAACTCCCCACCCGGTGGTGTCAGAGAGGGCGGGGTAGGGAGCCAGTACTTGCATCCCCACCGGGCAGTAGAGCCCAGGCAGGGCTGGGCTTAAACCCGACTCTCACACTTGTGGCCTTGGGCAGCTTAGCCTCTCTGAGCCTCTGCCCATCTGTAAGATGAATGGACATTCCTACTTTCCAAAATAGATTTGAAGATTTGGACCCATATATGAGCAAAGAGTACCCTGTGCCCCTGAAAAAATAAAAAGTATGAACCATTATCTCTCTCAAGAACACAGAATCAAAAATCCTTATCAAAGTCGTGGCAAGTAGCATTCAGCAATATGTAAAATTAATATAAAGCATAACCAAATGGGGTTTATTCCAGGGATACAAGGCTAACTAAGTATTTTTAAATCATGTTCAGTGTCTCTGAGAACCCTAATATAAAACTAATTCAAAATGGATTATACACCTAAATGTAACACCAAAACTCATAAAACTTCTAAAAGAAAACATCAGAGTGCAGGCTTCCCACTTTTGTTACTTTGGGTTAGACAAAGATTTCTTAGATACGATACCCAAAGCACAGTTCATAAAAGAGCAAATTGATAAGGAGGAATTACCAAAATTAAAAGTTCTTTTTAAAAGACAGTATTAAAAGCAGGAAAAGTCAAGGCTAAGACTCAGAGAAAATATTTAAAGAATTTATAACGAACTCTCATAGTAAGAAAACAGTCAATCCAATATAAAATGGACATAAAATTTAGTGACACTTCACCAAACAAGATATATAGATATCAGATAAGTACATTGAAAGATTTTCAACACCTTTAACCATTTGTGAAATGCAAATCGAAACACTAAGACGACAGCAGACACCTGTAAACGTTTATTTCCATTCCTTTCTCTTCTTCTTACCTTCCATATATTCTCTTTTTCTTTCATTTCCTCTTTTAATATACTTTTTGTTTTATACCAGGCATCATTTGTTCCCTACCTTCATGAAGGTGTCCTATGGAATTGAAGCCAGAAGTTTGGTATAATTGTGGGTGAAAAGGTTGTTGGCTTGAGAAAGGTGTGGTTCGTTTCTTACCTTAATTGGAAGGTTAATTTCTATCACAGGTTCTCCCTAGAGTTTTGATATAGACAATTGACATTTGTATAGTTTTATTTAAAAAGCAATGTTGTTATACAAATACAGTGACTGAGCCCTGCCATATGGAAGAAGTTGGGGATAGTGTGAGTCACGGTGACTAGATGGGCCACCAAAGTGCTCTGCCGTAGATCTCTTTCAAACAAACTCCTACAGAAATAACTTTACTTAGGAAGATTTATATTAAAAGTGTAAGCTGTGACACAAGCTTCTGTTCATTTTCTCTGTTTTTGGTGTGTTTTTCAGCCGCTGAAGGAATGGTGTGCAACCATCTGTGTTCCAGCGACGGCTGTTGGGGACCTGGGCCAGACCAGTGCCTGTCCTGCCGTCGCTTCAGCAGGGGCAGGACCTGCATCGACTCCTGTAACCTCTATGATGGGTAAGCATCTTACATGTCACCCTCACCTCATGACCTTTGAGGGACTGGTTGGTTCAGATTTTAAAATGATAAGAGAATTGTAAAATTTCAGTATGGCTGTACTGGCCAAGGTTTTTAAGGAGAGCTTTTGCTGTATAAAGGAGACAACTTACAGAAGACTTATTTAAAGAAATAATATTCTTGGAAATAACAAATCCAAATATATATTGACCATTACTCACATTTTAAAAACATGTAACAAAATAGGTAATTCTTAACAAATTATTGAAATTTATCTTAGGCAAAATTGAAAAATATATATCTATTCTCTTTATATAAAGGATTGTTATAAGCAATCTTTCCTCTTATATGTCCCAATAACCTATTTTTTCACACTTTCTATTAAATTTATCTATAATTCTACATAATGCTTTTTTTTTCATTTAGGTAGCATGTCTATTTGATTTTGTATTTGGAATGACACACATTTCTATGTCTCTGACAACCGCTTAGTCCTGTAGAAAAATTACCTTCATAGTTTCTAGTTGAATAGGTTTTTCTAAGTATTCTGCCATTTTCTAAAGATAACCTAAGAAATATTTTAAATCAAGTGTTTTAAATTTCTTCTACTACTATAATAAAACCTAGTATATACCTTGCTGCATGACATCTCATATGCTCATAAAATCACTTTATCATAACATGCCGTTCCACGCATCACAGTTGTCCTTCATTAGTGTGAGAACACATTTTTTAGTACTGTCCCTGAGTCAAATTTTTTTATATTGCTCACAGAGAGTACTTTCAACAGTTTTGCAAAAGTGCAGTTTTTAATTTCTCCATTTCATTTCTTCTTCTGCCTCATGGATTATCCCATTTTAACCACTGTTTTCATGATCCCAGATAACACTGTACTTTTGTATTTTATAACAGAAAGGTTAGAGTGTCTGAATCATGGTGATATTGATGTGTCTCTTCTTTGAAAGATGCCAAAATCAATTCTGTCCATGAAATTTAGAGGAAAAATATTAAAATTAAAAAATAAAGTATGAAATTTTAAAATAAGAATTTAATAGTTTTTCAGGAAATTTCAGCTTGTAATTTTGTGAGGTACAATCGGCTCATAAATTTGATAATGAATAGCAGATTATTTCTCTCACTGAAATGTATTCATGCTTGTTTATTACTGTGTAAATATGATAATTTCTGTACTGAAATAGCTCGGATCAAAATATGCTTGTTTCTGTGTGGAAACTGATGCCACTAAAACGAAGCTAATAGACTTGAATTCCATTGAGTGAATGTTACATTGAAAGTTTACGTGCGGTTCTGTAGAGGTAATGAAGTCTAGGAATCATGTTACCTTACAGCAGCCTCTCATGATCAGTGAGAACTGGCGGAACTGGAACTGGCCAAGGCTGTCCCGCTGCAGAGGAACGAAGCCAGCGCTTTAACCCAGGGCATCGTGTTCATTCTCTTTCCCTTCCCGATGCCATTGCTTTTCTATAATATTCCAACTTTAAACTTATCAAAAATATGAAATTCATAAATACGTGGATGTAAACACCATCCTCTCTCTCCCAGTTGTGCAAAACACCGAAGGAAAAATAAGTTTTCTAAATAAACAACGATTACAAGACTGTTTCTGAAACTTAACATTCTCCATGTTATTCAGTCAAATGTATTAAAATAACATAAAGCTTTTCATGCGTTTTGCAATAGTAATGGGGCCCTAGAATATCATACTCACAGGGTTAATTTGAAAGATAATAAATAAATGTATCTTGTGAGATTCCGATGTAATTCTCGCCTGCCCGAGCACTGACAGATTTCCCCACCTCCAGTCCTGTGGTACTGGATAATTTCCTCCAACATTGCCTGGTAGTTAGGGCAGCCTTTGAGGAAAAATAAACCCAAAGCTAACTCCATTGCTTCCTAGTTGAAATGTCCAATCTCGCACAAATAACCTAATCATTGTAAACTCAGCTTTCTTATATGGAAATGGGAATAGTACTGGTGCCAACTTTATAAAATAGTTGTGATTATTAAATAAGAAAATAGGTAATAAATTCTTATTAGACTTCTTACCATTAAAACTGTTATTTTCTTTCCTTGTCTATTAATATGAGCTGATTGAATGGTTAGGTAGAAAAGTCACCTTAGAAACTGCCCAAAATAAATACAAATACAATATGACATTTACCAAAATCTTATATACATATAAAAGAGGTTGATTATCATAAGAGAAGAAATCCTAAATAGAGGACTTTCTAAAGGGTTAGAAGAAAATCAGTCAATTTCTGGCTATTGACACTCAAATCCAAATCCTTTGAGTCACTCTAGTTTGGCAGCTCTTAACTACGATGCACAAGCAATCGGAATGAAAGGGAAGGCTAATTGCAGTGGAATCTTGAATTTTTTTAATCTGGCACTGTGATTAAACACTTCTGAAACTTTAAGAACAACACAGAAACATCAAAAAGAGTGCCAGTCCAGGCTCTTTGTAGGCATTTTTACATTTAATAATCACAACCTCGCATTGAAACATTAGTTTTCCCTTTTACAGAGGATACTTAAAACACGGAAGCTTTGAGAAGCTGAGGCATTTAAAGCCTGCACATATTAGCCTGGGTGCTGGCATTTAAATTCCAGAAGGAAGTGACTTCAAAGCGTTTGCTCTTGATCGTAGGATTGGCTAAGGTAGCAGACATAGCAGAAAAACAAGTAACAAAAAAACTCTGTACGCAAAGCTCATGCTCAGTAGACCGATTCGTTAGGTCAGACTCAGGTGAAAGGGGATGTCTGGCAAAGTCGTGGTGGAGTCACTAGGAGACCAGGAAGAGCGACGGCGGAGACAGTAACAATGAAGAGCAGAGTGACGGAAACTGCAGAGGAGCAGTTTGGAGAGCAGAAAGGAGAGGCAGAAGCCCTACAAATGGAAGTGTAGCCTACAGGGGGAAAGGCAGCTAGCTTGTCTCTAGGATTTTTAAAATCACGTGTTCTGATTTTAAACTTTACATCATCAGCTCTGTGTAGGAGAAAGGAGATACTAGAGAAGAGATACATAGGCATGACCTATGTTTTGGTATCTTAACAGTGAGGACCTTCATTTGGCACCATAACCCTTTATCACCCCGCAAACCTGTTTGCAGAAGTGATTTGCTGATGACGCAGGCTTTGCTGTAACTGTCATGTAATTTCATTAGATAGATAATGCTTTTGATTCGCTTTACAGTTAGCTACCCCTCTCCCATACGAGGTCATTTTTCCCTTTATATTCTGAAGGTTTTCTAGTGAGTACTTTACATCACTCATGCTGATGACACATGCAAAAGAAATTGGATATAACTGAAATTTTAAACATACGAAAATCTATAAAACATTTCATCCATAGCAAACTAACACCTCACCTTAACAAGGTAAAATCCATGTGACTAAATATTTGCATTCATACATAACTAAACCATCGACTGATGCTATTCATTTTGAAAAACCAAATTTAATTATTTTGCCTTGGAGTAGATGTCGCCTTAATCTATCTACCAGAAAGTAGAGCCCATCCTTTGCACTTCTGTCATTTATTAAGGCTTTAAAGTAACCAAATGAGATAGTTCACTATGGAAAAAAAAGCAAATATTTCACTCAAGGGAACGATAAATTTGAATTTATCACCTAATTAATCTATAATTGCCATATTTGCAATGCTATTAGTTGGGAATGGTAGGTCATAATACGAAGGCACAAAATAATACAGTAGCTATAAATATTTAGTCAGGTTTTGTTAATGACTCATAGCTGACATCCTAAATTATCTTTACCCAGTACCTCATTCACTCACACGTTAGTGGGAATGGAGTAGTTTAAACATATTGTACATGACTGGTTACACAATTATTAAAATGAAAATTTTAGAGTAGATATAGATTACAAAACTTATGTTGATACCATTTAATATTCAAACATGTAGCCACAACATGTAATGGTGTGAGAAGGGATGACCATCATCTCAGATTTTAATTAGAAAGTTTTACAATGTTACCATTAAACTTTTATTTTATTTTATACCATATAGAATTACTTCAAAAAGAATTTAAACTGAAAAAGATGTGATAGTAGAGCAATAATCTAAGAAAATAAAATCTACCATAAAAAGATATTTTCTCTAATTCTCTAAGGCAGATATTTTAAAAGAAGAAAAGAAATCAAAGCCTTTTTTGAAGTTTCAGCAAAAATAAATGAAAGAGTCTTGGGATTTGAAGGACAAGGATGGGACACATTCATGTAACTCAGCAGCAAGAAAAATATAGTAGTTCTTTCAGGGTTTTTGAAAACAAAGCTTCCACCAAGAGTAAAATTTTATAGGGAGATCGGCAGAGACAGCCTTACTTAAAAAGTTAAAACTGGTTCTGCTGTGTCATCAGAAGAGTTATACTTTTTATTTATTTTTTTTATTTTTCTGAGATGGCTACGGTATCACTCATAAGTGAGAGGTTTCCTGAATGAGTCTCTCGTTGAACCCAGCAGAGGGCAAGGAGAGCCATCTGGCTGCAGTTTATCTTTTCTCCTAATGAAGAACTTATTCCTTAATGTACAGGGAAATGGTTCTGATGCTCCTGGCACAGAGAGAAACAAACTCTAGAATTTACTCTGCCAATAGGACTTTTAGCAGATGTTACTTCATTTGTTAAGTTGACAGCTTGTTTGCTTACACCACCTCACGCAGCTGATGTTTTCACAGTGAATTTCGGGAGTTTGCGAATGGCTCCATCTGTGTGGAGTGTGACCCCCAGTGTGAGAAGATGGAAGATGGCATCCTCACGTGCCATGGACCGGTAAGCCTGAAGACATCTGTGCTTGTGTTGGCTTGTTTAGTTTCATGTATGAATGTTTGTGTCATTGCTGCATTGTTTATCCATCCATTCAAGAGATATTTATAGCATGCACTGGGAAATCGTGTTTGATATTCCACTCTCAGGAGACTTCAGTTTAGTAGTGGAGAAAAAATATTTTAAAAATTCAATTTCTTAAATATTTATGTCCCAGGTCATTTATTCAAACGGAAAATATGGAGTTGAGCCTGAAGATTACACAGTGTTGAACAGAAAAGAAAGATGCACAAGTAATTAAGTTGAAGCAAAATAATTGATAAACTATAAATATGTACAAATTATTATAGGAACCCAGTTGAGGGAGAAGCTAAATCTGTCTTTGGGATGGAAAGTGGGACATCAGGGAGGCCATAGGGAAGTGAAGTTTGAGCTATGCTTTGAAGAAGAATCTGGAATGCAGAAGCATGCAAAGACATGCAAATGTGAAAGTTGTTTTGAGGTAAACTGCAATGCCTTCTGCGTTTTGTTGTTTAGCTGTTATGGCATTGTGAAGGACAGCGGAAAGAAGGGGGAAGGCAAATACCAACTAAAGTCTCAAGCAGTGTCATAAATACTGTGACAAAGAGGAAAACTGCTCTACGAGAACCTAAGGGGAGGGTGTGGGATCAAGAAAGTCTTCATGGATGAGCTGACATTTATATAGTTGGAAGTTAGCCTTCCGGAGAGAATGATAATTACTTTTCAGACCTCCCTTCGGGTCCCATCATTCAGGCCTTTTCTTAATAATGAGGTTAGTATGGGTTTGTCATTCCAAAGTGTCACACTCATCCTTGTTAGACAAATGCTCACCTTATTGGTGCATTGAGTCATCTCTCAGTAGATGACTTGGGGGCCAACATTTGGGTATAGCCAAGAGCTCAGCATTTCTCAAGAATAATTTATTTTAAAATTAAATGATATTAATTTTTCTACCAGGGTGCTTATTCTAAGAACTTAAATAGCTTAGAAAAAAATATATATCATTGAGCCCTCCAAGCTTCCATTAGGCCCCCGTGAGCTGTATTGGAACTTCATCTAAAGAAGGGTGTGGAAACTGGGACAGTTCAGAGCACTGCCACAGGATGGGTAAGCTGGGAAAGTCAGACCTGTGAGAAGAAGAAGTGGCGTGATTTGGCCTGAAGAACCAAAGTCTAAAAGACAATTTAATATGTAACAATCTCCAAGTAAGTATGTAAAGGGCAGTTGCAGCCATTGTCTTTCACCATGAAGGATAGTAACAGAAAATACAATCTATCAACAGCATGAGAAACATAAAGTCTGTAAAGAGTGTCATGAAACAACACGAGGAAGTAAAGTTTCATAATGGGTTATTAAAGAGAGAGCGATATAAGACTTCTTCAAAATATAACATATTTAGGTACCTTCTTGACCGTAAGTCAATGTTTTCTAATAATAATAATTGACATTTTATATATTACATATATATATGTTTACCAAACACTGTTAAATCTGATGCATACTATCACTCTCTTCATTTAAAATATAAAGAAATTGAACCTATAATGATTAGAAAGTTACACCAAAAAGTCAACAAGCCAGTAAGATGTGGAACTGACACTCACTTATAGAAGTTCTGACTCTAAATTTCACTCTCTTTTCATCACTTTTTTTTTTCAGGCCACAATGTCTGTAACATAATGAGGGTAAAGTGCTTTCTGGATACAGACACTTACATGTAAAAGGGGATGGTATTCAGCTTAAACGTGACAGAAACCAAGATACTCTTGAATATTTGACATACGCTTGATAGATTTGAAACAGAGCAAGCCTTTGCTTTCATAGCCTTGTCTGCCTGCACTCGGTCTTCTTTATTTTATTTCTTTACAATTTTATCTTTTCTGCCCCTCTGTCACCACTCCTGTACCATTGAGAAGGATGCGGGAGGGAATGTGGGAAGAAAGAAAACTAGGGAAATCAGACAAAGTTGTAAGAGATCAAAATATACGCCAGAGAGAGAGCAGAAGAAAAGAAGAGATGGGGGAAGGAACTCCGTTTAAAAATATATTTTCATAAAAGCTAAAGCAGTTGTTAAAGTCAGATTGATAAAAGTAGTGCTGCCATAACAAACAGCCCTCACACTGCAGTCGCTTATAGAAAAACGTTTAAATCTGTTTTGTGTAGAATGTACCGTAAGTCTGGACAAGGTTCTCAGGCAGCCCTCGTCCATGTGATGGTCTCGCATTACAGGGTGCTTTGATTTATGGCACCTCCACATCTCCATGGGGCCCCTGCATCATGGCAACAGGGAAAGAGAAGGCTGGGGAGTTTAGCATTGGCAGTCCCATAAGTCCCGTCTATTTAATTTCATTGTCCAAACAAGGATACCTCACCTCTGGTGAGAAGAGAATTTCAAGAGTCCATGTAGCTGGAAGTGGAAAAGAATTGGATACTGTTGAACAGTAGCTTTGTCCCTTACAGTTGCTACTAGGGAAAATCATCAATTGTCATTGAGAAAAAAATGCAGTGTTTCCATCAGGATGTAGTTTATATTATAGTTGTCTGTCTAAATTATTTAGTCCAAGGGTAACTTAAAATCAGGGATAATGAAGAATATTGCCTTCACTTCTGTTTTCTATTATTGCATTTATTAGTTCATTCACTGAACCTAGGTTCTTTTATTTCAATTTATCTTTATTGTTGAAAGTATTACAGACATTCCCCTCTTTCCCCATTGACACCTTTCACCCCGCACCCACTCCCTGCCCCAGGCCTTCACCACACTATTGTCTGTGTCCATGGGTTATGCATATATTCATATAATTTTTTTGGTTAATCTCTCCCCACCTACCTGCCCACCCCCACCTTCCCTCTGAGATTCATCATTCTGTTCCATGCTTCTATGTCACTGAATCTATTTTGGTTCCTTAAAGCTTTGGGAATATAATGATAAAAGAATAAGTATTAGACACACATATATTTCTTTAAATCTCTTTATTATTGAAATGAGATAGAGATTTCTTAAAAGAAATGAAGATTTCTTTTAAGATTTGCCAGGACATTTTTTAGTTATTTCAGCTTAAGGTTTTGTATCATGATAATATAATGAAATAGTTAAGAGTTGCTTAAACAAACAAAAAAACCCACACCAATTTATCTTATTAAGTGTACTTAAAGTTTAAATGTGAATTGAATTTTAGTTTCATAATTTTTATATCTTCTGATTTTACCTGGCAATTATTTTCATTACAATAATTTTATAGAAAAATAATTTCTAATTGCCACTATAGCTGCCTAATTTACCATTAGTAAGTTTTATCCTTGTGTTCTGCAAGAAGACATCAGCATGTCTCGTGTCTTGTACAATAAGTCATGCCACTGAGCATACTTGCACAGTAAATGATTTTGTATAATGGAAGGCATTACGTGCCTAAGTACCCATGAGCAGGTGTTAAAATTGGAAGCATGTGAAGTATTCTTTTCTGGTAGGAAATAAGAAGTTGCCAATAGCAAACTCTTCAGTTTGAATAGGGATTAGGTGTCACAGGATAATTTATTTTTTCAATGCTCTAAATCTCACATCAAAATAGAGATAGAGACAGGTGTTTGATTGAACCTTAGCGGTCTCAGGAATTCAGAAAACATCTTCCGGATTACTACTATTCTTCTATATCTTTAAATTTTAAAATATTATATTTCTTGATTTCCAGATGCCTTATGTTAACCAGTTTGCAAAGTTTAACTGCTTTTGGGTTAACATTTATGGAAAGATGCTATGCAGTCCCATGAATGACTGATCCCCACACTCCCTGTCTAATACATAGCTCTGTATAAGGTTTGCTTACTCTTGGCCCCCAAATTCACATTGTTAGTAATTATAAACCTAATAAAATGGACTATCTCCCTCTATACTTACTATATCTTATTTCTCTAAATTGTGTTCAGTGTGAACTGTCATAATTATTGAATCATGTGGATCTAGATAGTTTTCATGGACAAATGTGTCAGGGAAAGAAGTTCCAGGGAGGTGGTCAAAGAAAAGAGAAATCCAAAGACAATATGATATTCAGGAAGGAACTAAAGTAAATTTCAAGCAAGTAATATCATTGTTTCAAAGCACTGAATATGTGAAAATGTGGGCATCTTTTAAGAAAGTAGCATTTTTAACCAACATGTTCTCAAAATGATCGCAGTGTATACTACTTATGTCTTGCAGATTTACTATCCCCAGCACCAAATGCCAATTAGTTTTTTTTTTTGTAAAATTATTAGATGTTTAAAATAGTTTTAAATTTTTATTTTGCTATGACATTTAGATATTTTTAATATATTTAATGCATATTATTATTGCTTATTAATGTTCTACATATTATAAAGTTATTGTATATTATAAACATAAATATATAAAATGAGTTAGTTGTATTTAAATTTATTATGTTCAAATTTATATTACATTCATTCTTAGATAAGTTTCCCCATTAATTTTTTTGTATGTATTTACTTTATGAAGTTTTGAATATTTGACCATCAGAATGTATCTTTTTACTGCTCTCAGCACTGTTCTGTGATTTAGTAAAATCTCTAAAAATCAACATGATATGGCTTTTAGCTTTATCACAAGCTGATTTGAAATTGGAATAATTTAGAAATTAACTTCTATTGGCATAAACTGCCTAATTTCTGATAATTCAGCCATTTTAATTTTTAATATTTATTGACCAAATTGTCATTGGACAACCAAAGGAGAGTTAACATCTTACTTTTATATGAAATTTAGTGTTATGTAATTCCTATCATTTTCTTTTTCTCGTTACCTCTTTAGCAAGAAATCTCCCCTATTTCCAGTGATTGTGATAAAATGCCCCTGGGGAAAAGGTGTTATCAAACATGGCTGATCTTTAATATCACCATTAATAAATGACAGAAAGAAAATACTGATGTTCTTCTGGAAAAGCCCTTGGAAAATATTGCTGATCAAAAAGCATAAGAGCTACCTCCCCATTTGTGTTATTGAAAATGTTCTCCAATTCCCTAGAGGAATAGTGGCCACCCACTCAAATCTCGGTAACTAAGCCAGATGATGACATTTCAGAGGAAATGGCACCCATTTTTCTGTGTCTATTTTGTTTTGTTTTTCACACTCCAGGGACCTGACAACTGTACAAAGTGCTCCCATTTTAAGGATGGCCCAAACTGTGTGGAAAAATGTCCAGATGGCTTACAGGGGGCAAACAGTTTCATCTTTAAGTATGCTGATCAGGATCGGGAGTGCCACCCATGCCATCCAAACTGCACACAAGGGTAAGCATCCTTACTGACAAGGCTTGTATGCATTGTTAATCCAAAGGCACACTCACCTGCCTTCATCCCTGACAGTCTACAAAATGTGTAGTGTTCTCACACAAAATTCTATTTATCTTTGTATTTAATATATTGACTTTAAAAGAATTCCTTTCTAAGAAAATCATTTAAAGAATCAACTTTATATCTTTTGAAATATTTTTGTTTAACATTTAACCAGAACTATTTTGTTGACTCCTTCATGAAGCTGGTGTTGGGTATACTTTGGATGGAGTGTAAAAATTCTTTCAAACTTACTGGAGATTGAAGTTATCAGAAAAGACATGACAGTAATGATTTGAGATATGTGCTTAATAAATCTTTAACAGAGGTTTTCTGTGTTTGTTGCTTTTTTGTTATACCAGTTTAAAGTAAGGTTATCTCTCTTTGGTAAATCTTGCCTTGGATTACTCCATCAACAAAATATAAGCTAAAGTAGTGGTGGCAGAAAAAAACAAAGGAACCTAGTGACATGTGTTTTAATAAAATTATGAGTGCTTTTTTTTGCAAATAATTTTTTTGCAGGTTAACCGGTAACTGAGAATTTTTTTGTTTGATGTTGATCAATTCAAAGTAGGACACGCATTTTTCTTTTTTAAAGAGGATGTCATAAAATGAATAAAAATTCAATTTATCAACTGATAACATTTGAGTAACAAAGGGATATTACAGAAAGAAGAAGAGCACTGGCCTATAAAGGAAATATAATATCAGTTATCTCACAAATCCCAACAACTTTCCCCCCCAACAAATTATGTTAGTGAGGTCTTTTCTTTTTCTTCCTTCTAGAAGGTGAAAAATTTTTGAATCTAGAGAAGTTTCACATACTCCATCTTCCCTTCTGTCCATAAAACCCCATCTCCGTTGTGCATGCCCACACTCATGTGCACACAAGTACAAACGCATCCCCTTGTTGAGAATATCTTGGTTACTTTATATCTGGCAGAAAAGCATGAGATTCCATAAAGAGATTTTCTGCCAGATTAAGGGCTAGCTGTTAGGGGATATTGGAGAAGTAAGTTAAGCAACATTATCTTCTGCCAGGAGGACATCAATTTGCAGATGCTGCTACAATTTCCTGCAGGTCAAGAAATCAGTTTAAGTCACTCTGTGAAGTGGCAGATCCTCAAAGGTAAAGTCATATCATGCCATTGAAATTCAAATTCAATTCAGAAGAGCTAACACCAACTTATCGGTTTAGACATAAGCATATAGGCTGAGGATACTGAAATAGTCAGAGACTCTGTGCCTCAAGGAAACTAAAAGGAATAAACTGCTCCCTTTGCAAGTTTTTGGCACGCTCGGACTAAGAGTATTTCATGAAGAAACAACTGGTACTGGTACCGCTGGAGCAGAAGCGTCAGCAACCGAAAGAGAAAACTTTGTCGGCTAAAATAATCATCCACAAGAGGGTTTTATTGTTTTGCAGCTAAAATTAAACCAGTAAATTATTTAATATGATGTTGATGTCAACAGCTGTTGCCATTCAAAATGAGGCCTTTTGCTGTTTTTGCAAATCTAATTACAATGAAGCCATTTGGGAAATGAAAGTGAGATCACAGAGCCCTAGTCTGCATGTGTCACTGGTGTGTCTTCCCCTCAGCCCTTTTAAATCATGATTATAAAATAAAAGAGAACATATATCGTGAGGCAGAAGTAGAAGGAGGGACAATGAAGAGATCAGTTTGCCACAGCAACAGAAGTTGGATGTCAGCCAAAAGGGAGTAGGCAGGTATAATAGGGAAAAAATCTTACCAGATCATTTGGGAACTCCCAGTAAATAGAAAGATGTTTTCAAATTCACTGCTACAGAATGATGGAGAGACGGAGTCTGAATTTTGTACTCCTTGGCATCTTCCAAGGTACATGGATTTTGTAATGAGTGACTTAATCCTGGAGGATTTCTGTTTTTCTTTTTATTTAGTTTAGTGCCGTCTTTTTTCTGATAGCCTGCGTATAGTCCAGGTTCACTCACTTCAGGAAAGTTCTGTGGCCCCAGCCACACAACAGAACGTAGAAATTTCAAATTTTCCTAAATTCCCTCTGTACAGTACTGCTGGGAAGCACTGTGCTTTGAGACCTGTCACTGAAGCAATGGAATGCCCTGTGCAGCCTGGGAAGATGAGAGGGGCAGTGGCATGATGGGACCGGTGACTATTTTATTCCTAAACACATGTAATTACTGATCTATTAGGAAGTGCGAGCTCACCAGGCCAGCTCCACTTCAGAAAACAGCTTTTCTTCTATGTGCCAATATTGTGTCAGCTAGATAATTCAAGAACCAAGTTAATGGAAATAGTCTTTCAAGTCACTTTTTTTCTAAAGAAGGAAAGTTCTTACTTTGAATACTGTTTAATGATTTTCTGAAAATGAAATTATCTGTTTAATACCTTAAAAGGACATTTACTACTCTAAAAGTACGTTAGATATATTGGCTCTAATATGCTCTTTTGATACTTTTTTAAAATAGGTTATCCATTTAGCACCTATCAGGAGATTCTCACTAACATTCCTAGAGGGAGAACAAAATTAGGTTGTCTCTTTTTGTCTTGACTAAAAAACTTTTATTTTAGCAGCTACTGGTGATAGCTAAGTTCAGAAATGGGCAAGACACAACTCTGGACCACTAGGAAGTCACAGTCCAGTGAAGTTTTATTCTTACAGTTTAAATCCTTCTATTAGAGACCCTTGCCCACATTTTGAAATGATGAGGAAGAATTTAAAACTTAGGAATGATTTTCATACTTGAAATCAGCAAGATAGAAATCTTTAAAGAGGACTTGTAAACTAAATTTACTATGTAATTAAATGACCATAAGGGCAGGGATTATAGTTTCCTCACTAGCGCCACTCAAGTCCATGATAAATGTCAACTTAATTTTGATTGTTAGACGTGGACTGGGATATTTATTTTTCATAAGACATCTTTTAAAAACTTTATTAAATGTCTATTAATATTAGAATCATGATTTTATATTATTAAATTTCCTCTATGCCATAATGTTTTGTCAATTCTTTTTTATATTTTTAAATTTATTTTGTGAAATAATTTACATTAATAGAGAGAAGGAAAGAAGGGTTGTTTGTGGAATTATTGTCCACACTATTTTAATTGAAATCTTTAAATATTCCTCCATTTTCATTTCACAGTTTGGAGATTATTTGACATTATCTCAACTATGTTACTGGCAAATATTAAACAGCTGAATATTTGAAGTTCCGATACTTTATAATAAATTACATTGATGTATTACAATTTCTCTTTCTGATCTTCCCATAGTGTCCTCCTTTAGAACGCTAATTCTGTTGAAAGTTGTATTACTCTGTACCCTCATTCAGTCTCTTATTTGAGATTGACTCCTCAAAAGTTTATTTTCATTATTCTGTGATCTTGTTGAATTAATATAAATTATATGTGCTAAATAGTTTCTTCTATAAAGTACAGAATTGAAATAGATTATACCTCTTTACAGACACTGTGACTTGTATTTAGAAAGGATAGTACCATTGCAGCCACACCCTCACTCATTTCTGTCTTCCATTGTTTCTTTTATCCTTAGCTTATAAATATGTGTCAGTCTCAAATATCCTACAAATATCCTACACAATTCTCTCAACAAATCTTCCTCAACACACACCCTGCCCCCTCATTCCCTCCCCTTCCTTTCCCCTTGCCTCTGTCTTCAATTTGTTTCTCAGCTCACAACAATCTAAATTCTAGTGACAATGACACCTGAAATACTCTCAGTAGTTCTTATTTTGCTAGACCTCTCGTTGCATTGGACACTGATGACCACCCTGCTTCCTGAAGTTCGCTACTGATTGGGCCTCAAGGATGCTGCAATTCATTCATTTCACTCCATTGTCTTTCCCCATGCTTCTGACATGAGCTCATCGTATGTCATTTACTGACTAGTTGTTGGGGTTCCTTGGGTTTCAGTCCTAGTCTGTGTTTTTCTCACTTCATAGATTCTTCTTCAGCCATCTCATTCACTTACATGATTTCAGTTTGCTCCTGTGTGCTGTTGCAAAATTGATTATTACACTGTGCCCTCTGCTTCAGCCCCCACCCTCCAGCCACAAATTCATTTTCCAGCTGCTGAGGAGCATTTCCTGCTGGATTGTAGAACAACCACACTAAGTTCTAGATACACAAACCTGAAATCAGCAACTCCTCCTGCCCCACACACCCAAGGAAAAGATTACCCTCCCCTTGCATTCTCTCACTAATGATATCACTAGTCTCAAAGTTAGAAATATGAGTCATTCTTAACTCTTTCTTCCACTTTCATCATCAAATCAGCCATTAACTTCTCTTTTTCCCCTATAACTGCTAAGATATTTTTGGAATCCATCCCTTTGCCTCTATCCTAGGTACCATTTTCCTAGTTTAGTCCATCATCTCTTGAATGGACTAAAACATTCTCTGTGCCAACCAAGTCTTCCTGGCTTCCAACTGACCAGCCTCCACACAGAGATATATGTAAAACACAAGCCAGGCATTTCACTACTTCGTTGAAACCCTCAGGTGGTTTTCCATTAAGTTTGGGCCTGGCAAACAGTCTTCAAGTTCTGGCTCCTGTCTCATGCTCTAGTTTCTTCTTTTCCCTGTCCCTGTTGCCTCATCTGTCTCCTTCATTAAATTGTGAACTCATTTAAAATAGGCAAATATCTAATTCATCTTTTTTTTTTCTTTTTCTTTTTTAATCTCCAGCTCCTAGAACAGTAGCGACACTGAGTAGGCATGCAACACAGTTTTGTCTTAATGAATGAATGATTTTTCATTATTTACACTTTCTCCTTAAGTTTAATTTCACTTTGAAATATTTTTATTTTTATTTTTCAAAGGTTATTATAAAGCCATAGATTACAAACTAACCATAGCTTTCAGATTCTCACTTGAAAATAAGTAGACTATTAATTCTCCGAAATGACAGTATTGTATATTTTAAAATAACATTTTGAGGAAGATATAATAGGAACCTAGAAAAAAGAAGTTCTTCAGAATAGAATAAAAAGAAGACCATAATAAGACAATTTGAAAAATTTGTAGTAGTTAATTTTCCATTTTTAGAAAATGCTTTAATTATAGATTGTGGTATCAATTCAAAACTATGCAACCTAGTTATTTATAATACTTTTTACATGCACCTGTATGTTAAAAAATTTTCCCATGCACCTATATGTTAAAAAATTTTCTGACCTCTCAAAAACAATCCTCAAGACAAAAACAAACCAATTCCACTTTTTCACCTAGTATGAATGTTATATTTTTGAAGCAGGAAAATAGTTACTTAATTACTATTGGGCTTAGTTATAATAGTTCACCAATGAGTAGTTATTGAAAGATACAATGGACAGTCTGGCCTTATGCATGATATGTTTTTTATTCATTTTATAGGGATTTTAACATTAGCTTCTTTTTCTGTTTAAGAAATTTTAGTTTGGAAAAAGCCATTTTAATTACCAGCAGAATTAGAAAGTTCTATAAGTCATAGCTGTAGGAGGAATCTTGATAATGCACTGGAGCTATGTCTTTGATGGGGAAAAACAGAAAGAAGCAATTCAAGTACATTGGAAGATGGAAAAATAATATGCCTAGAATACCTCAAAATGAAATTTTAGGGCCTGAACATCTGAATTTGGTGTACTTATATTACTTCACTTAAATGTTAATCTCCATGGATTTTTCAGTTACCTGGGTCTGAACTTATTCATTTCCTTGGAGAGGATTAATTTATTTGTTATTGTGTAAGTTAAATATTTTGGCAGTTTAAAACCTGTTTTTGTTTGCCTGTTATGGCACTGCTCTTTTAAAAGCGGGTGTCGAGATAAACTGCAGTATGGTGAAACAAGTTAATTTGCTTTTTAAATGAATTCATGTTTAAAGATAAGTATGTTTTAAAGACAGCCACAACCAAGGGATGGGATAATGTGATTATGTAAAGTGTCTATGAGAATAGCAATAAAGAATGTTAACTCACTTTCTGCCAAAATCAATCTTTAATGAGTATTAAGCGTCGGGTTATTATATTATATTGAATAGTTCCTGTTTCCTTTTCTATTGATTTTGTTTTTTACATAAATTGAAGAGCTTTTAGAGGAAACGGTATACATGAAACCCTTATAGCCATTGAAATATCAAAGTTATTCACCAAGACATATAATCATGAATGATGCAGATGAACTGAAAGAATTAGAAATGAGCAATCTGTGTTTGGGAGTTATCCGCGAAGCAGAGTAAAATGTTGTTTTCTGTGGATATGTTTCTTTGCATTCCACTTGGGCGGTATTTGCAATTTATTTCTGGGTATCCATCAGCAATAATCTTCTTACTGCCTTTAAATTCATGGTGTTCCAGAATTGCCTAATAACTATAATTAAGAGTGTGATACAATTGGTATTTATCTTATTGATTCTTTAAATTACTAATTTTTTTCCTTGTATTTTTAAAATTTGGATCTTCTGCAGGTGCATAGGCTCAAGTATTGAAGACTGCATCGGCCTGATGGATAGGTACTTGGTGTGCTTGTTCCCCATGTGCTTCCTGGAGGCTCCGTGTGAGCACTGGCGCATGTGTGTGCATGTCACTGTGAATGGAGAATGATGTTTTCTGTTCTGTAATTGCCTGCAGGTGTAGCGGTCCCACTAGTCATGACTGCATTTACTACCCTTGGACGGGCCATTCCACCCTACCACAACATGCTAGGTAACATCTACCATGTTTCCATTTTGCCACTCAAATCCCTTCCCGATGATCATGGGTGAAAAGTACTAACCAGTTGGGTGAAACTTATAATGTGTTAAATTGGGGAGTTAGGAAGTGGCATATAACACTTTACTTTCCAAGCCACATTTCTTGCTGCTCCTCACTCCATTGATTATGACTTTAGAATCCAAATTAGTAATATCATTATTCTTAATGTTGTACGAGTAAATGAAATTAAATAATTTTGAATTAAGCTAGAACTTTAATAGAATATTTTATCTTTAATTCTACGGATGATTTTGAAAAGAAATATTTTAAGAGAGAAATTTGCAAAAGTTGATGTGTTTTTGTAAAAGGTTTTTGTAAAATATTTGATTCAACTTCTGATTTTATATTATTTTGAACTGGTTGGTATATGCTCTAAGTATCAGAATTGCCATAGACTAAAGGCAATAAAGAAAATATTTTGTGCACATAAAAGTACAAGCTGGAATTTCAAAACAAAATATGTCACTCACATTCATACAAAAACCTAAGTGTGAATGTAGTGGCTTCATTCAAAATCACCCGCAGTTGGAAATTGCACCGGTGTCCTTCAGCTGTGGTGTATCCATACATTGTAACACTGCTCAGCAAAAGAAAGGAAGTAACTGTTCACATACACGAGCATAGATGGATCTCAAAAATACCGTGCTAAATGAAAGAAGCTATACTTAAAAGAATGCATACCATATGATTCTATTTATATGGCATTCTGAAAAACGCAAAACTGTAGGCACAGAAGACCGACCAGTGTTGCCAAAGGCTTGGGTGGTGAAGCATGGGCTTGACCACAGAAGGGCACAAGGAAATCTGGGGGGTGATGAAACTGTTCTGCATCTTGATGGTGATGGTTGCACAAGTGTATGTGCTTGTCAAAAGTCAGGGTTCAGAACATTTAAAAGGATGAATTTTACTGTATATAAATTATACCTCAATAAATTTCACTTTCAAAACTCATATTTAGGAAAATAATGATTTGACAATGTTATATAGACATATTACTAGCTTTCTTTATGAAACGTTTATTCTATCATTTGGAAGAGAGAGCAGTGATAAATTACAATTAGCAAAATGAGTTTTTGATGACTTGTTTTTTATTGTTTTTTAATTTAAACATTTTTTAAACTTACTAATTGATTTTAGAAAGAGAGAGGAAGGAGGGGAAGAGAGAGAAAGAGAAAGACAGACAGACAGACATCAACTGCTGTCCCACTTATTTATACTTCCGTTGGTTGTTTCTTGTATGCGCCCTGACCAGGGATCAAAGCGGCAACCCTGGTGTATTAGGACAGCATTCAAACCAACTGAGTTTTTTGGCCTGAACAACTTACGGTTTTTTAATGCAAACCATTGTGTTGAAATATATATAGTGTAAAAGTATGTAAAATATAAGTGTAAATGTCAGTGAATTTCTTCAAGTGCAACATTTGTGTAACCATCAGACAGGTCAAGAAGAAACACAATAGTATCAGAACCAGAAACCCCCTTGTGCCCATTGCAAGGGTAACAACCACTGTCCTGAACATTAACACCATAAGGTATTTCCCTGTTTCTGTATTTTATATAAATTATATAAATTGAATCATTGTATGTACTTTTTACATCTGGCTTCTTTTTCTAAATATTATATTTATGAGATTCATTTATGTCATTCAATTCAGTCATAGTTTTTAGATTTATATGGTGTTTTGCCTTTTTTAAAGCAATCGATATGTCTTACTAATGTTATTTTTTAAGTGATATGTCTTACTAATGTTATTTTTTAATGAAATCAATAGACAAATTCTAAAAAGAAAGAATGTGGTAGAGTTCAGTGATGCATACAATAGTGGTACTTTGGCACTTGGGCACAATCAAGACTAGTTTGTAACAGTTGTTTAGAGCAAGGCCAAAATAATGGGAGGAAATCAACACATATGAGAGAGAAAAAGAGAGTGGGAGGGGAGGGAGAGAGAGAGGAAGAGGGAGTGGGAGGAAGAAGGAGAGAGAGAGAGCACCCCTGTACCCCAGACCCAAAATGAAGTTTTATAAGCCAAGGTTTATTTTAGGTTGGAATGGACCTATATTCATGAAATACTTTTTCCTCCTTGAGCCTTTGAGTCACTTTACTATAACTTTGAAGGGTGTTCTCACATTTGTTTTGATGATTTTTAACATAATTATTTTAACCAACTACTGAGAGGCAATATAATATGGTGATTAAGTGTGCTCTCTTTGGAATCAGATTTTCTGAGGTCAGAGACAGGCTCTACCATTTTTTAGATGTATGACCTTGGCTAAGGACCTTAATTTATCTGAACCTCACTTTCTTTATGTATAAAATAGGAATATTATTAATAAATTGGTTGTGAAGATTGAATGAATCACTAGAAGAGTGCTTGGCACAGATAAATCACTCAATGTATGTTATTTATTATTTTTCTAGATATCAGGAATTTTAAATGTTGGTGATGGGGAAAACACCTCCCAGAGGGAGGAGAAAAGTACCTCAGAGTCACCCAGGAAGCTTTTACTTGTACCTCTACCCCTCTGATGGGTTCTTTGAAGGAAAGGAAGTCATTTCTTTCTTCAATTTGAGAATCACTGTCATAATGAGAGCCACAGGTACCAATGGCAGTAGGTCCCAGGCAGAGGCATATACAGAGACAGAGAAGAGATTAAAGCCATGGCAATAGACCACTTGTGGTTTTCAATGCTATAATTAGGTTATATAACTTAAACTCAGAGTGTTTTGTCAACATATAAAACATAAAAACTGTAGAGAGTATGCCAAACTGATGACATGTCAGGAAGCAAGACCTCAAATGCTCTGGAGAATCACAGTTTTGCCGTTCCTTTTATGCATTTGGAATTAAGGAACATAAGGATTTCATGAAGGGGGAGAAAGCAAGGTACAGGGTAGTCAACAAGATTATGTGTTCCCTTAAGGGTAGTTAAGCCTCTGAGGGCTCTGAAAAAGAGGTTTACTCAGACCTTTCAAAGGTGTGTCAACCCCCATGCACAAGAACAAGGGACAGGGCTTGCTTAAGGCTAAATAAAGCTTTTATAGGCCTGGGGGGTGACTACCCACCAGGACCTGCTGGGTTAGGAATTTATGATCAGATCAACCTGTGAGGTTACTTTTGGTCAGATTTATTACAGAGCCTCTTTTTTTGTTCATAATATCTTATTATAGATTTAGTATTTCCAACATTTAAACAAAGGCGATTTGGGAATTTTCAATCCTACTACTTGCCTGGGTTCCCAGGTCATTCCCTATAGTCTCAGATTAATACAATAAATCAGATTAGCTTTGTCAAAAATAGATAACCATGAGCAATAACAGAGGACAGATAGTCCAGGTCAGCCTGTCATTCCTGTGAAAAGTCACCTGTACACCTTTGTACAGATAAAGTGCAGGGTTCTTGAGTATGAAATTCGGGTTTCAAGTATTGGCTCTAGCATGTTTCGTATCTGTAAAATGAGATGATAATGGTAATTTTTAAAATGGGAATTCTTATACCTTGTAAGACTGGTGTTAGGATTAAATGAGATAATGCACAGGAGCCATTAAATAGTATATGTGCACTGGTGGTAATTAAGTCTCTAGCTGAAACACTGGAAAAATAATGTTTTGTGAAATTTCATGAGATTGCATTCTATTTTTATACATCAGTATGGCATAAATTCAATAGTTTAGTGACTATAGAATTGACATATATAATTTCTCAGGTTTTAAGCATTTAAATTTTGTATGATACTTTTATATATAATGAGCTCAAAAAATTCATAGTAGATAGCTAACTACTCCTTTTAGAAAACTTTTGACATATTTAATTAATACCTATGTTAAAACTCAATACCTGTTTTAGGCTTAAATTTATAGCAAACATACTCTGTTCTTCAGTTGTATTGACTTGTCAGAATTGACTTGTCAGGGCCATTTATAAGGCAGTTTGGGATTTCCATGAAAGATTGAGCATGCACACTTTGGAAGAGTGTTTATGACCATGGGGAATTTTGACACAGGTTGAATGAAAAGCACAAGTAACAACCAGCCCCTTTTTCAGGTCCCCGATACCGCAGAAAATGTTTACCTCTCTGAAATGGGGTGGGTACACTCTAATTGAAAGCAGGGGACTAATCAAGTAATATTATGGGTCATTTACCTCTTCATAAATTCCATAATAGTTTTTTTTAAAGCTTTTGTCTTAATTAATTAAAGTGGATCTTACCTAAAGGAGGGCAAACAGCATGATGGAAAATAATAGCTTTACGTTTCATAAACCATGTTCTAACTGGGAGATTATCCAAATGCCTAGTTTTCTTTTCAGTTGCAGAAAATTTTTAGTTGCAGGAAATTACATTCAGCGTGTCACTGTGGGCGTTTTGAAATATTTAGAGTTCCTACTCCCTCCTGCCCCTCTATGCTGTTTCTGAAACCAGCAGGAGGAAAGATTGAAGATTTAAATGAAAACAGGTGAAATGTTTCCAATCTTGATGGACTTGCCATTTCTAAGCAGTGCTATTCTTTCCCAAGCCTGCAATTTGCGAATTGGTTTCCACACTCCATTTACGTTCCGGGCGCTGCTGGAATTTCTTCCAGGAAGATTGGATGGTACAGAAGAGAATGTTGTTGTTTCTTTACCCGTAGCCTCCTAGCATATAGCACTTACAATGAAAACAATACTTGATATTGTAGAGCTTCTCCATGCTTTCCTCATCTGAATTATATGCCTAAAGAATAGAATTTATCTTTGATGGACTTTCTTTCCCATCGAGAATCTTATGAAGAAATATGTTCAGCAAGTTTTTATGTTTTGCTTTTTAGGTGCTCTTTATGTTACCTTGCACAATGCTATTTTTATATAGATTCTAATAGAACAAAGCAATTGAAAACAAAACAAAAACCAAAGCATTAGATTCTTTTTTAACTTAGTTTCTTTATCAAATATATATCCAATTTTTTTTTTATAATC